GCTGGAAATCGGGGGAGCCCGCCTGTCAGGCAGTTGGCGCGCAGTCCCCTCGGCGCCCGCCGGGTTAAAGCCCCGCCCGCGCCTGGCCGCCTCCTCTCCGGTTCGCCGTTGCCAGCGCCGTCCCCTGCGTTTTCCTCCCGCGGCCCGCGCCCTGTCGCCGCGGCTCAGGCCCGTCCTCGCGGCTCCCTCCGTCCTGGAAGACCCTGCGCGGACGCGGGAGCTGCGTGGCTTCGCCCTCAAACTCCCGATTCTTCTCCCTCAGCGCCCCGTCTGCCTCCCCGGCTCCGTTTTATCTCCCCTCTAGTGTGTTTTGCGTTTCAGTGTGACTTGCTCAGCCTGTCACCCGTCCGCCGCTCGCCACCGCACCCCCAGCCCGCGCTGGACCCCGCGTCCTTGCCCCGCGCACGCCGAGGCTGGTGGCGGGCCGTGCCCCGGGCTCTCTGCCTTTCACCTGTGGTCTCAGATGTTTCCTTTCTCCCACCACTGCCCACCGCGGCCACGTTTCCTTCCTGGCCGACCTGCTCTTATTTCGGATGCTCTTCTTACCTCTTCAAGTTGTCCCGGTGTCTTTTCCTTTCTTCCCTAACCCCACTCTCTCCCTAGGCTCCCCCACAGCCCATCTGAAACCGGGTCCCGAAAAAGGAGCCAAAGTTGTCCAGGGCTGCTTTCACTTTTGCTTCTTTTTTAAAAAATATATGTTTTTATTGATATCAGAGAGAGAGAGAGAGAAACAGAAACATCGATGAGAGTCATTGATCGGCTGCCTCCTGCACGCCCCCACCCTGGGTGGAGCCCGCAACCCAGACATCGCCCTGACGTGCCCAGATCGGAAGCTGAACCCTGTGATCTCCGGGTTCATAGGTCCACTGAGCCGCATGGACTGGGCTACTTTTGCTTCTAAGTCCCGCCCCCTGTGTTTGTTCTCATGGTCTGGGGTGGGAAATCCGGTTCAGAGCATGGCTGGGGGGTTTCTTTGGGAGCCAGGGATGTCCTAGAAGGGACAGTTTTGGAAGCTAGAACCAGAGGACACACATCAAGGCTTCCAAAAGGGAAGGGGAAGGACTTGTCAATGGGCAGGATCTTTAACCTGGGCATCTGTTTTGGTAGGATTCGTACTATCAGCCTCGGGCCCTGGAGAAACATGCCGACAGCATCCTGGCGCTGGTATGTCTGCCCTGGCACCTGGACTGCTGTATCTTTTCAGCCCCAGCTGCCCTCCTGAACTTTCTCCTGCCCCTGGGGGTGGGGGACACTCCAGACTCTGCAGATCACCTCTCCAATACACACAGACACACTATCAAGCATGTGCATACTTGGCACTCCCCTTTGGCTATGCCCAGCTCTCTCTGGGGCAGCCTGAGCCGTGAGGAAAATTTGTTTACTCTTGGAACCATCTGCAGGTGCTGAGTCCTGCAGTCCCCAGTGACCTGTCCTCCTGGCAACTAACCTCTTTGGCTGCAGGAACAGCTGTTCTCTCTGGCAGGGTTCCTATGGTGACATTTGTGCATCTCTTGGGGACCAGGTCAGGGGCTGTCCTGAGCAGGACCAATTGAAAAGACTTGATTAACTTGAGTAGAAAGAGAGACTTGCCTTTAAATGTGAATTATGTCTGGAGATCATAACAGGAAGAGAACAGGACTTATACTTACTTTTACCAGCCTGTTATGCTCTGACACATTGCCTTTCAACAGATATTGAGCACCTGCTGTGTGCACGATGCCATGCACAGAATAGGGACTTTACACGATAAACTTCAGGTTATCCACTTTGCTCAGAGCCTAGCCTGGAAGGGACAGAGGGGTGTGTGTGGGTGTGTGTATTGATTGCTTGTCCTTATCTCTCTGCTGCAGGCTTCAGTCTTCTGGTCCATCTCTTATTACTCCTCTCCCTTCGCCTTCTTCTACTTATACAGGAAAGGTCAGTGTGATTTTGAAGGTGGTGGGACAAGAAATGGGCAGGTTGTTGGCAGATGAGCCAACCCCCTAAAGAGGAAAGGGGACCTGCACAGATGGCTTGGCTTCACTCTTCCATCAGGCATCTTCTCCCTCAGAGGCATGGCTGTTCCAATGCAGGGGCACGGGGTGGAAGTTGGGGTGGAATGGGAAGGGGACCTGAGGGGCAGTGGGGAAAGCTTCTCACGTAGTTTCTCTCCCCTCCCAGGTTACTTGAGTCTCTCCAAAGTGGTACCGTTCTCTCACTATGCTGGAACGTTGCTACTACTGCTGGCAGGTGTGGCTTGCCTCCGAGGTAGGTGGAGAGGGAGCCTGGTTTGTATCTATTCATCATGGGTAAATCAAAAAGTATCTTCTGAAATTTTGTGTTGGGCCCTGAGAGAGAGTAACTGAGACGATCAAGGCATGACCTTTTCCTCGAAGGGCTTGAGTTGTAAATATGAAAAAATAATTAGCAGAAAAGTTTGCTACTAGCTAGAAAATATGCGTATACTCTACAATAGTTCCACATATATTCATATCTATGTTTGTAATAATGCTAAACTGAAAATAGCTCCACAGCCACAAATAGTAGGGTGGGTAAATACATTAGGGGGTGTAGTCCTACGGCAACATGCTAAAGCAATGCAAATGAGCAGACAGCTACACTCAGCAACGCAGATGAAGCTAATACATACAATGTTGAATGAAAGAAGCTGACTGCCAAATAATTTATGCAATATGTTTCCACTTAGATAAAGTTCAACAGGGATGC